GGTGCTATCTTGGTCACCGTTCTGTACTTCGTCATCTGGTACTTCCCAGCCGGGTTACCCACGGATCAAGCCGGTTACATCTTTCTGTTCCTTCTCACATATGAGATCTTCCAAGTAGGTTACACCCAACTCATCTGGGTTATTGGCACCCCTCTGACGCTTACAGGTCCTACTTGGTCTCTTTATGATGGCCCTTAGCCCAGATCTTGGCGCAGCCGGAAATGTTCTCGTCTTCATCGTCTGCACTTGTAACTGGTTCAACGGCATCATTGTTCCCTACAGTCAGATCCAGGTTTTCTGGCGTTACTGGGTAAGCTACGGCATCTCCGTAACTAGACTCTCGGCATTTCGTCTGACATGGATATAGCTCTATTACCTATCACCATTTACATACCTTCTTGGCGGAATGGTGACGGCCGTGACCTCATCGGTCGATGTGTCTTGCTCAACATCAGATCTCACTGTGTTCACTGCCCCTGCCAACGAGACTTGTTCTTCCTATGTGTCAGATTGGGCTCTGTCCGCATCCGCTCAACTGCTCAATCCCAAGGCCTCTGGTGATGACCTTTGTCAAGTATGCCGTTGGACTACTGGAACTCAGTTCTTGGACCAATTCAATCTTGGAGACGGCCAGCTCGGTGGACAATGGGGTAGTTGGGGAATCTTTGTCGTGTTCACGTTCAGTAACCTTGCGTTGGTCTACTTCTTCACTTGGGCCACCAAGGTCAAGGGTTGGAAGTTATTCTACTTCTTTTAGATAGTCTCTACTCGGCATTGCCGCGATTCAAGCCGTTGAGCCTGGTATCTGCCGGGTAGTATGATCCAGAGCTGAGTCAGGCTGGAAAACAGTGTCCGTGTCTTTATTCTTCGATCGCAATTTTAATACACTCTTCTTATCAGCGCTCATCCTGCTCTTCTGGTGACATAGTAGGCTTCCGTTTCTATGTTGACACGTACCGTTCTCCATCGCCTGTGACTCCGTTAAGTTCCGGCTGCGATGTTATTGGAACAATGAAAAATGGAAATTTGACCAAGACCATCTCGAGAAGCCGTCCCATTGCTGACGTTCTGTACTTATTATACCTATTCTATTTCACTATTCTGTTGAACAATGTATCGAATGAATGTATATTTCTATGTAGACCGCACGATATTTATACTCCAGACTATGAATGCTACTGCACCAATCTGTTCCTTCGCCTATCACGCGCTGATTGCAGCTCTGAGTGGCTCCTGTCTCAGATGACCCTCATCCTCCACCAAGGGGCCCAAGTGATTGATAGCGACATCAGGTACTTGCGCCTTGCCTTTTCCTCGAGCAACAGCATTTGCTTTAACCATGACCTCATCCCATTCTTTGTCCGCTTCGCTCAGCCAAGTGATCGCTCCTCCTGCACCGAGTTCTAGGTCATTGCCAGACTTGACGATCGTGCGGATCACGACGGATTGGTCTACGGTACCGCTGGCGCAGATGTAGCCGATACTTCCAGAGTATATACCTCGCTCACGTTGACCTTCAAGAGAGTCGAGGATCTGAACTGAGCGAAGCTTTGGAGCGCCGGTCATGGAGCCAGGTGGGAAGCAGCGCTCGATAACCTTGGTTCCTCCTACCGACGGAGCAACATGAGACTGTATTGTTGTGACAAGCTAAATGATGATCAGTCATGCTGTCTTCAAGTAATACATGGAAAATGTCATCTTACCTGATGGACAGTTTGATAGGTTTCTACATGCAATAGCTTTGGCACAGAAATAGAGGTTGGTGGTGAGATGTTGTGAAGGTCGGATCGAATAAGGTCAACGATCTATCCAAGATTAGAGACAAGTGAGTTTTCAGCAAAAGGCATCTGCTTACCATGAGATTCTCGGCTAGCTCTTTGACATCGGTCGCAAGTTGATGCTTCCGCCTCTCATCCTCGACTGGATCAGAGGCAACAGCAAGGGTGCCTTTGATTGGCTTCATCTCTGCAACTCCATTGCTGTCGATGGAGATAAATCGCTCTGGAGATGAAGAAAGGATGGTTTTGTCATGGGCCGCAAAGTGGATGTACGCAGAATACGGCGCAGGGTTTCGTTTGCGAAGGTCTAGGTATAGGCTGTAAGGGTCGACTTCTGGGCTCTTCGCCCTGAATTTTGTTGTCAATGTGAGTTCGTACGTCTCTCCTTCTTTGATGGCCTCCTTGGCTGCCCAGATCGTGTTGGAATAGGACGCCTCGTTATCCAGTGCGACAAAATTGGGTAAAGGATGTGCCTCAACGTAAGGTGGTGAAGGCGGCGCGTCGAGTACCTCGCGGACACGAGTCAGATAGAGTTCAAACTCGGCCTCGTCGATACCTATCTTGCTCGAGGCGCCAATAGCGTTGCCGATTGGATCCTCTTCACCTCGACGTATCAAACTGAACAGCGTCCACTCTCCAGTGTAATTATCGAGTCGAAGCACGGTGGTTGCGAAGAGTTGCTCGCTATCACTGTGTTTCAAGCTGACATCCTTCTCATCTGGTGGTGTAAACTGGTAGCCAGGTAATGATTCTCTCTTGAGTTCATAGCCAAAGTAGCCGATGAGCCCAACCTGAAGCAAGGGCTGACCAACATCTGTCTCCTGATCCAATGACTCAGAAGGGAGTGTTTCCGTGTTTGCCACAATAGTCTCCTGTTGGAACTTCTCCAGCCACGACCAATAGGAAACACTGAGCCTTTCTGATTTGATGTTCTTGCCATGCTGGTAGAAAGACACATGTCTCGACTTGGTAGAATAGCTCAGTGTAAATGAAGCCCATGATAAGTACGAGTTGCGAGAGTGTGAGTCTCTGACCTACAGCCAAGTCAGAATCTGAGAAGTTGTTGGCATCGGATAGGGGAAACATACTTTGGCGCTATCAAGCCAAGCCTCGCCGTCTAGGGATCTACCCCGAAACAGCGTTTGGAACACAATCTCTGCAGATGGGCCTTTGCCAATTCTAGCAGACTTGACGTAGTAAGGTGAGACCAGTCGTGCCGGGTCAGCCTCTGCAACCTGTGCCTTTTGCAAGTCGGTTTGCTCAACGGCATTCTGCTGAAGAATGTGCTCAGGCAGCGACGCGTTCTCAAGAACTCTACGCTTTGTCCACTGATTTCTGGGGTTGCTAGTCACCCAAAAGTCAAGGACGATATCTCGGAAGTTTGAGAGGATCTGCTTCCCGTGAGCAGAGCAAACGCTTTCTGGATGCCATTGCGTGCCAAAAACAGGGCGTTCCCGGTGCTGAAGTCCCATCAACACCTTCTTGGAGGGGTTCTCTGGGTCATATGTCCATGCTGTGACTTGAAGTTCTGGTGGGACATCTAGGGAGTGTCAGTATGAGCACAATGTGAAGGTCCAGTATGGGGAAGACAAAATACCTTCAATGTCCAATACAAGACTGTTATACCTTACTCCATCGAACTTCTGCGGCAAACCACTGAGGATGCCCGTACCTCGGTGGTGGATCTGGCAGATCTGGCCGTGTTTGATGTTTGGTGCATGAATAATATTGGCACCAAATGATGTGCCGATGCCTTGATGTCCAAGGCAGATTCCCAAAATGGGTATGTTGACTTCTCTTATAAGCCGAGCGTTGAAGCCAAAGTCTGCTTCGCGCTGCGGTGTGCCGGGGCCCGGTGATAGGATGATGGCATCAAGGTGAGGGAGGATTTCCGATTTGAAGTGATCCCTGGGAACAAACAGTTAGTCATTGTTTACAGTTAGAGCCTTGAAATCTTTTTCGTTCTGCATACCATGAGAACTGGTCGAATCGAACAATAGATACACTCCACTCTGGATAGGACTGTCCATCGTGACCCTTCTCAACACCTTGGAGAAGTTGTAGAATGTTGTTGGTGTAGGAATCATAATGATCAATAATGAGAACCTTGATTGTGCCCATTTTGGTAATAGTGTAATGCAGTATGAAAGTCCCCGATGATAAAATAATTTCAGGTAAATGTTACTTGGCATACAATAAGAATGTTGGTTGTCTTTTAGCAGCAGACCTGCTCGCCTTCAACTTGATGCGACTAGCGCAGGTTATTATGCAAGCCGACTCGATAGGAGCAGCTCGATTTGGAGATAGACATTGGATCGAGAACACATACGGTCTTACCCACTCTATTCACTGGAGTTATGCTAGCCAAAGAGAGTTTCGAACTTAGGGCCATGCGAGCCAGTAACTGGCTGTTGTCAGGCTCCTCAACGTGCCTCCATGTTCTTGTTCCCAGTCAGTGATGACTTGAGAATCAGCCCGGATCGTGTCATTATTGCTTGCGTCGGGGATGTGCAGCTTAATCCTGAGATACCGATGTCGTCAGCTATGGTTCAAGTTCTTTCAAGTGCCTGATTCTTCGGCACATCCGAAACTGCTTAGCTACCTTCCATTTCCTGTGGCAAAGACAGGGGAGGGTGCTCGCCGAGGCATGGACTTGCAGTGATTAGAGCTTCAGGTCAGTCTCATACACTGGATACAGACATGTGTACTGCCTCGCCTCAATATGCATCAAAGCAGTGCTACTTTTGTTCGACCTTGACGGAATCTCTCCGCATGCCATCACGACATCAAAGGATCATGTTGCGAGACGTGGCAAAGAGCAATATCAAGTTTAGACTCACTAGAAACGACGATAAGGGAAACAATTCTGGCTAGTCTATCTCTCGGCATGTGGCTGATATTACCAATCCTTTACCCTGGGTTACGGAGTAAGCCAGCCTGATAGGAGCCTTCATGCAGGTGTGTTTAAAACGGCGTAGGGTAGTATTGTCCCCCACTCCCGCCCGGGTAAAGGGCACAGATACGCATTTCCCGATACAATTTAGCGCTGTGGGGCTGTTTGGCTAGTTGCAGATCCCTGTAATCACGCTATAATACACTAACCTAATCGGATGGACATGCCGTGCTTGACCCTCCTGTCCCTCTCGGAGCTATGTAGACGTCCTCTGCTGTCTTCTGTCCAAGCCCGTTCCCTCTCACCATCGCCCTCGGAGGAAGTGAGAGATGCAGCCGGTTCTGTTTCCGCCGAGTCGCTCTGAGGCTACCTCCCGCCGGGCCAGAGACGCCTCGAAGCAGGGCCCCTGGCGGTGCTCCAACTGCCCCAAGGAGTTCGCTCAGAGTGAGTACTACGCCCTGTCGTGCCTTGTGATCAATCCCTTCGAGTGGATGATGGTTCGTGCCCGTACCACCAGCAATCCCACTACTGGCCCTGCATCTGCTGCATTCATTCCCTAGTTGCTTGTGGGCTAATTATCTTTTCTTTGTCTCTGAAGAGGAATATCGGTACAAGCATCAACAGCGCTGTATTCAATCGTCCCAACGACAAAAGCTATCCAAGCAGAAGTCTTGCACAGCTTGCGCATCCTCCAAATTGAGCTGCGACTTGGGCACGCCGTCATGTTCACGCTGCATCAACAGGAACAAGACGTGCCGATACGTCTCGGCCAACAATCCCAACGCCACGTCTCAGCAGATCGAGGCATCCCAACGGCCTCGGGGGCACCACGCTCGCACCAGTTCGGGACAGGCCTATGATAACGATAGCGTTGTAGGAAATAGCTCATCGTTGTCAATTTACTCTACTCGTCGTCAATCAGATCTTGAGCCTGGAGCTGTCATGCAGGACGCGGGGAACCAAAACCGCACCTCTGCCACCTCCAACGGCCTGCCACTTGCAGCTCTCCAACAACAGCCATTGCCTGCACGTACCTCTCACGGTATCGATATAAATGGGTGGCATGCGAACACACAGACAAATAGACCAACTGTTGGTTTTGGAGATCCTACGCCAAGCCCGGGCCAGCTTGAGAGGGACAGCATCTCATTATTTGACTTGACCAATGAGACAGACCCTGCGTCTCGATGGCAGCAAGAAATACCTTGGTTCTCACAGAATGCATTTCTCTCCCCTGAACTGCCTATATCGCCAGAGCTCGATGACCCTATGCAAGGGGGAGGCTTCACGGGTGCTTCTGAGGATCTCAACTTCGATCTCCTGGGCTCACTTGGGATCTTGACTCAGAATCGAATCACTCCGGGCCAGGCATCGCAACCGGGCGGATTTTCAACCATGCTAAATACGCCAGTCTCATCTGATGGTCACTACCCAAGAACAACATCTATTGCCAATCACCATAGTAATCAAAACTCTCCACTTGATGTGGAAGCCGATGCCGAACAAGGCAAAACTCTTCATAGTGCTGTCAAAGCTGCGCGTGGCATGGAGTTGCCACCTACCGCCACACCACGTCTGCCATACGGTATCAGTCGAAACCTACAGTCATGCCCGTTTCACAGACTCCACAAAGACGATGATCTCATTAAAATGGTCAGCAACTACCCCAGCATCATGTTGCGACCCGGAGTATATCCCCCATTTGTACATCACAAGCTTTACCGATGTTCTGCTGGGGACGTTGCAGAGCCGCTTGCTAAGGCATTCTGCTGTGTCGGGGCCTTCTACGCATCTGTTCCTGTCAGCGAGATATTTGTTTACTCGCTCATAAATGAAGAGACTAATAAGCTTGTTAAAGGATTTGTAAGTGAACACCGACTACAAACAAGCCATTCAGTCTCATTAACCGTGTACAGCATCAATTACCAGGTTCTGATGCAGACATGCTAGCGGTGGTCCATGCCATGTGTATCTACCAGATCCTAGGGTTCTTTGTCAGCGTAAATCCAGAACAGACGCGTGCAGCCGAGTCACAACAGATGTTCTTCCTTAAGGTAGGTAACACTTCACCCGTTTAAGTTTGAAGAAACATGAGCTAAAACTGTACGGCAGATGACCAGACGTCTCGCTAAACAATATCTCCAAACCTCAACAGTCGAGGACGGCGGAGAGAGCAACTGGCGCAAATGGCTTATGGATGAGACAATACGAAGAACCGTTTTCCTTGTCAATGCCATAAATACTCTTTCCTGTCGTGTTCAGAAGCAAGATCCAAACTATTTCGAGCCTCTAGACAACGATCTTATTCACAACCTGACTCTCCCAGCACCTGAGGCAATCTGGAAAGCTTCGTCGGCAGAGGAATGGTCTCTCGCCAAGTCTCAACTTCCTGCTGATGACTTTGCTCGGACAAAAGTCACTGTCCGCCGGGCTGTTGATCAGATCAAGAATTCCGGAAGGTCTAGGGATCGAGGCACTCCTATTAGCCCGCTCGAGTTCGATATGTTTGATGACTTCACAAAGCTAGTCATTGCTACAGCAGATGTACAGTAATAGAGTCTGATACTGTGTTGCTAAAGTAGGTGAATTCAAGAGCATCTATCTCTATAGTTTCAAGACATTAAATTCCTAGTAATATCATTTTCAGGTTCTCTACTTGAGGATTCGAATACAACGCGGTGTGTAAGACTGCTTTGTAATTATATTTTAAGGCAGAATGATGATGCGATGAAATTGACACTTGCTGTGATCTTAACACTCTCAATCAAGTGAATGGGACATAACGCCTGAAATAAATAGTTGAGATATAGTTAACATATCTCATTATGCACAGATCGTTGAATCTTATGCAAGTGCATATATATATATAGAAACTAAGCAATGCATCTGATACTCCTTTCCGGAGATATTAACGAACTGCATCGGCCTTTAAAGCTCCCTAGCTTCCTAGCTTATAGCCTTCTCATTAATGCGGTCCAAGATTACCAGACGCTCCGCGAATCCCTTACCAGCCTTGCTAAGAGCATCGATGTTATCCTTTTCTCTCAATAGGATCACGTTCTCAGGATAGAACTTTCCCAGGAGCGCTAGCTTGAGAATAGGGTCTGAGGTGGGAATGATGTGGATTGTGTTTCCGTGACCGTCCTTTACTCGTGGTGAAATGACAAGTCCAGGTCGCGAGAGAATGTCTGCCGCATCGTGAATAATTGTCTTATGGATGCCATTGCCGCCTTCTGCCGACAGTGCACTGAGGATGGGTGATGATTTTGCAGTTGTAGAACCCTTCTCCGCTTTGACTTCATACGCATAGCGTCGACCACGGGCGATCTGACCAAGGTCAACAGAAACAGACTTGCCCGAGTACAGCGTCAGGCGCAGCTTGACAATACGTCGAAGAGCGTCCTTCCCGGCGTCAATGGCCAAAGTGGACTCCGTGACCCTGGTGTCAACCCCTAACAGAGAGGGCAGGTTCCAGCTTCCGTCCCCAGAGACGGCTTCACTTGCTGCAAGCTCTGTTCGGGGAGCATCGATGTATTCCTTGTGCTCGTAGTCAAATAAGACCTCGCTCTCGGAATCATAGACATGGGCTGGATGATAACGTAGTAGATGAAGAGAAGTAGATCCTGACAAGAAGGCTGGCAAAACGAGGCCTTGAGAGTACTGGAAGCCGTAGCCACCTCGAGGGAGATGTCGGGCCGTGAAGACTTTGGCCAAATCAACAATGGCGACATGCTGAATTGTTCCTGTCAGACAGTGTACAAGGAAAAGCTTCCGAGGCTCTTCCAGATCGCGGATACCTCGGTCTGAGTCCCGGGGAATAACGAAAGGCACCTTGTCGTAGTTCTCAAAGGGAATCAAACTGTCGCGAAGGAGAATCATTCGATGAAGCCACTCGTTATACAGCTCCATTAGCTGCGAGTCACTCCGAGGTCCTAGTAGGAGGCCTGCGACAGCTGGAGTCCAGAGATGTCCCTCACAAGGACTTCGAAGTCGTATCTTGGGATTGGCGTTGGTAGGGTCGATGCTATCGTGGACGTATCCAACAAGTGTCTTTGCGATTTTGTTTGCTTGGATCACGATCTCTCGCCGCGCCGTATCCTGAGACGAGTGGACTAGTGGCAGTGTAGACTCTCTACCCGTAGTTGCAAGAGAAGCTGCCAAACCATTGACAAGGACAGTGCGAGCAGGGACGTCGTTTGGTCCATCTGGACCGAGGCGGGATATGATGACATCAAGAAGGGGCGAGGCGGTAGCGACCAGCTGTCGGACACTGTAAACCCCGGGCGGAGTGTAGAGCGCATTGTTTATGATCACAGGGTAGTGCTCAGCTTTCAAAGAATCTTCATGGTAGGGAGGAGAAGGAGGAGATGTCATGGCAACAGGTCCGTCTTTCTGAGTCCACGAAGGGTAGACAGTATAGCCCAGGGTGAGATTGGCAAGATTGGCAAGTCGGTAGGGCGGTGCGGAGGAAGGGGGAGGAGTGATAGCGGAGACCATTGTACGGGCCAGAAGCATGTGGTTGGAGAGAATCAAGGTTCGATAGAGGATTCGAGGGGGAAAAGAGCAGACGCGAAGGAGGGGCAGGGTTATGATAGAGGACCGAATGGTGGACAGTTCCGACAGCTTGGTCGGTTGACGATGCAATGTGGCTGTGTCTGAAGCGTAAATTTGGTCCCGAGGCTGGTTGTCCAGGTCGACTACTGCAAGATAAATGATTGTTTCCTTTACTTTGTCTGTAAATATCGTTCTGGGAAATCGGGCGCGTGCATGAAAAGCTATAGAAGGGAATGGCTAGGATGGTTGATGAATAACGCAACGGGAAGGGAGATTGATCGCTGGCATTAAAACATTCCTATGAGAGGCTTAACACAACGGATCCTCGGGGCGTATCGTCTGTCGATGTCCGATGGCCCTGATCAACTGTTGGTCCTCGCTACGCCCCTTAGTCCTGCTGTTGGTTGAGACAACTGCTGCTCCCAGCGCTTTCTTTCTTAATCCCAGGTAGTGTTGCCTGAGCTGAATTAATTTTTTGGCGTATTTTTGCTGATGCTGAAGCAGTTGGTTCCTCTGCTAATTCTAGACTAGGAGAAAAGAGGCTAGGTAGCTCAGCAAAGTGAGGTTAGTCAAAACGCCATCAAAAGCTTTGCCCAAATAGTGTTAATTATCACCAATAGAAGGTCTGGCGCAATGAGCAGGGGTTCCGCACGCAATAGTGGACTTAGCTTCGGAGATTTGTGGCAGTTCCAGGCTGCTCAACTCCGATGACCTCGGAGTTGAATGGCATAGTGGGGTCGCCCTGAAATTGATAACCAATACCAATAGGCTTGTTACATCTCATGCAAGATATCTGCGTGATTATTCATGGGAGGACTTACAAACACATCTGCTTCATAATTGGATATGGATTGTGTGCTTGTCAATGTTGCCAGATCTAGCCGATAGCTTAATCGGGGTGATGGTATTCCACCATAATGGTATCGAATTAGTAGACAGCTGCAGTGTATTTGTGCTTATGGTCATTAAATAGCAGTTGAAAGATCAATGCCACTGAAATAGCAATTACTCACAGCTGCTAGTTGAACTAATCTGCCTCCCTTGACTCTGTACCTAGTGACCTACCAAGCGAATTTGCTGAAATGGCTTCTGCAACTGTTAGTGCCGTTACTGGTGCCGCGACGGTCTCGACACAACTGGCGCCATTCTCTGGTACAGAAGGAACCTACATGCTGCCTCACCATGCCCAGGAGATTGAGAGATTGCATCGCCAACACCTCTTCATGAATACTACCACGGGAGGTCAATTGCTTGTAGTACCATCTATCCATGAAAAGAAGTCTTTGCGCGTACTGGACTCTGGTGCTGCAGATGGTGAGTCTCCTTTACCCACAGTCTGTTCCTGTTGTTAAAACTTGTAGGTTTCTGGCTTCGCGATCTGCCCCGCCAACTCCCATCACACGATCTGGAGCTCTATGGAGTCGACATTGGATCAGATCTCTTCCCTACACAAGATAAGAGTGCAGCCCACAAGGTAGAGCTTCGGAGCCACGATGTGAGAACTCCCTTTCCACCTTCGTGGGATTGGTCCTCGAAGTTCGACGTGATCAACCAGAGGCTTCTTATCTGGGGCATCAAATCTGCGGAATGGAACCGTGTCATCTCAAATCTCGTTTCATCTCTCAAGCCCGGCGGCTATATACAGCTCGTCGAGGCCGAGTGGATTGACCCCAAGAACCTTGCAGACGAGAAAACCAGACCTCAGCTCAGGAAGCAAGCTGCTCTACAAGAGTGGTCTACTGCCAGCTTTGGTATGGACATTCACATTGCATACAAGCTTGAGGGGCTTCTACGAGACGCTGGCCTGGAGGATGTCCACAAGATTCAGTTCGATCACGGCTATGGTGCCCTCGCCACCTCAAAGGACCAGAGAAATGTGTCAGCCGAGCTATGGGTCGAGTGCTTCCGAACTCTGGATGAGAAGATTCCAGGTAGGTCGAATATACAACCATCGCAATACCTAGTACTAATCAGAGATACTTTAAAGAAGGCGGAATTCCTGGGGTTGCAGCGAATTCGAAAGAGTTCCATGAGTTCCTCGATGCTTTAGAGATTGAGATCAAGACGTATGGATACCAACCCAAGCTCAATTATGTCTATGGACGAAGGCCATTTAATTGATACGGTCACAAGACTAGAGCTATGAAGACTATGAGTTTCACTTATATAAGTCAATAAAATACAGCTCGTCCAGGCGTTACTAGAAATGACCTAATATGAACTGAAAGATCTTCTGCTACCTATATATACACGGTTTGTGCCAGCAGCGTTCTGTATATAACTAGATTTATGAGGTGTCATGCAATGATTTAAAAGGACTTAATTACCGTAACACTTCGTTGTCCCAACGTTATCTAGAGCTCGGTTCGATCTGTCAGTTGTAAACTGCTCGCTAAGTGTATTTAAACTTTCAGCATAAATTCTACAGCGAAACAGGAGAGTGTATTAGAGGTATGAGTTCAATTCGCAGCAACAAGTAGCTAAGTATCAGGCTAGATACCGTCTACCGTATTCTCACCCCAAGTTCTTCACAGACTCAGCAAAGCGTTGCACCAACTCCAGCGCCTGCTGGCCCGACAAGCGAGGGTCACACAACGACTCGTAGCAAGTCTGCAAATCTTCCTCGCTCTCGCAGGATGGGCCACCTAAGCACTCTGTGACATCGTCTCCCGTTTGCTCGAGATGTATACCCCCCAGATGACTCCCAAGATTTCGGTGAGCAGCATATGTCTCCACAAGCTCAGCCAACAGGTCGTCAACCCTCCTGGTCTTGATTCCATCTGTAGTTGTGAATGTGTTACCATGACACGGGTCGCACATCCATATTGGTACATGGCCGCTGAGCTGCACTGCTCTGATGATGGCGGGAAGTGTCTTCCTCACCTTGCCGTGTCCCATGCGAGTGATGATGGTGACCTTGCCATACTGTGCTGTATCGGGAGCCAGGGTGTCAAGGAGGGCAATCACGTCTGCTGCTGTGGCTGTTGGACCGATCTTGACACCGATTGGATTTCGCAGTCCACGAGCATACTCAACGTGAGCGCCATCAAGTTGGCGAGTCCTCTCACCCAGCCAGATTGATGTTGCTGACAGGTTGTAAGACTCATGGGTAAGAGCAGATTCATAGGGGAGGTGAAGTGCTTCGTGTGACGTGTAAAGATGACACTTGTTGAATACCTTCCCCGGTACTGAGTTTGCTAGCCCAGTAACATGACGAATGCTGTTCTGCGTCGCTGCAGCATAGAAGTAGCCCAGCATGAGTCGCTTGGGATCTGGCTTTCTATCTTCCAGTCCTTCTGAGTTTATTATGTGGCCTCGGAATGCATGCACCGTCTCGCCGCTTGGAAGAACCTCGAAAGGGTTTGACCTTGGCTTGGCGTATTGCCCTGCAATACGCCCGAGTGGTATGACAGGCTTTCCAATTGCTTCTTCGAGTATCTGGCTTTGTTGATGGAGCAATTCAACCTTGTGATGGATGATATCGTGCTGTATATCGTGGAAGCTCTCTGCACAGTCTCCGCCTTGGATGATGAAGCCACGGCCCAGAGCAACATGGTAGAAGCGAACCCGTGCCTGCTCTATTTCCAAGCGACTGACAAGAGGGGGCAGTTGCTTCAGTGATGCACATACGTTCTCCAGAGCATCTGTATCATTGTACTCCACAGCCTGAGCAGCGTACTTTGACCGCCATGAGTCTGGCGTCCAGTGAATGGCCTCATTGCCGTTCGTCGTGATTTCCTTGACTAAGGCTGAAGCTGCGGGCTTTCTGTTCCGGTAACCCGCAGGAAGCCGGAGGTTGTGTGTCTAACCAAGATGTCTTAGCAACGGAGCATGTAGGGGATGGATAAAGACTTTACCGGTATCTCGATATGCATTGCGGGTGTGTGCAGTAGTGGTTGCCACTTGTCCAATTGTGCGATGGCTGTTAATGGATCACTTTGGAGATGTATGAGTTGCTAGTGCAATGTATTTCAGCGATACAGACGACTTGTGAAGTTATCTCTAACGTCGATATTTACACCGAAAGAATAGATAAAGGCATGTCTTTCTAAAGACCTTCCTGGCATACACTTGCCTTAGGCCTCGGCAATAGCAGGCACGCATCTACATACAATGTCACAATTTTGCGTGATTTTGCCTCTGATTGTTGTGTTCCAGCTTGTCCCATTGCCTTCCGTTGCTGACCAAAACGTGCCTTGTAAGACGTGGGGGCTTGGTGCACGATGCTATCGTGGCAACCAGATCATGCCAGAGGACCCGATACGCTAATGCAAGGACTGGAAGAGAGTTTCTGCAGCTCGGAGTTGGAATTGCGTTGATGTAGTAGACCAAGTCATCGGGAAGATCTTGCTCGGACATACTTGACCATGACACTTGGCCGAAAACGAGGCTGCATATGCACGTCGAGTCACAGTCCTTCGTCAGTTTTGAGGGGTGTATGGAGGCGACATGGTGAGCTGGGCAAGAGAGGTTTGCGTCACGGCGAAACTGCCCTTCGTTTCATACTAACAACGCCATTCTTAAGGATTATCCTAGAGTGATAATATCGATATAAATTACAAGAACTCATCAGTTATACATCGAACTTTGAGACAATATTAAGTTTAACTGTTTCCATCTTGTAACTTTCAGAGGTAGATTTAAAGCATTTAAATATAGGACGACTATTGAGAATAGAACTTGAAGATCATGCACTACCTGCTTGAAGCAGCGGAGCATTAGCTACAGCCTCAGACGTCTCGCGTTGCATATCATCAGTCCAGGTCGTGGTGTTTTGGCCGTTTTTATGCAGATACGCCAATCTCTCCACAACGTGCTTTCCCGCGTAGACTGCGCCATACTTCTGTGGGTTCGACGCAGTGCAGCAAGCCTTGATGGGCTCAACTAACGCCTCTCGGTTAGGATGACCAAACCAGGCGATGGAGTAGCGTGCCGGGATAATGTCAGGGATGTTGCCGTCGGCATCAGGCTTGGGGACCGGCTCCACAACGCGGTGCTCGGTAGAGATGAGGATGTCGTTGAACCAGCGGGACAGCAGATCCCCAACTATTCTTGGTTAGCCATTTTTATCTTGCATAGGGTAATGTCTAAGGCTCGTTAACTTACCGTTGATAATGGCGCATCCGGGAATCGGTGGAGCATCGATGTACTTCCCGTCGGCTCGGCGCACCTGCAGACCCCCACTCTCATCGTTGAAGAGCAAGGTAAGGGTACCATAGTCTGTGTGTGCCGAGGCCCTGGTCCTTTCCTTGAACGCAGCCCGAGTTGTCTCAGGGTAATAGATGACACGAAAGAAGTGGTCCTTCTCGTCAACATGAGGCTCAAAGAAGCCCCCATCGACACCGACTTGCTCTGCGAGAACACGAAGGAGAACAAGATGGACCTCATGACATTTCTCAAAGAAAAAGTTCATATCATCGCGGAACTCGGGCCAGTTCTCAGGCCACTGATTTGGCCTCGTGGGATCGTTCTCTTTTCCAACATCAAACGCTTCTTTGAGATCGGAATGGCGAGAATCTCCTGAAGTTCGAGCGGGAGAAAACCATCCATGGAAGCCCTTGGACTCGCCAGTCTCGACTTTTGCCTTTTCTGATACGGGCAGAGCAAAGAATTTCTTTGCGTGGGAGAAGAGGTTTTCTCGTGCAAAGTCAGGGATGGAGTGGTTTGCCAGGTACACAAATCCAACGTTGACAAAGGCATCGAAGAGCTTTTGCTTCTCTTTGATGCTGTCTTCCAAAACTCCTGGCGAGCGGGAGATTGAGGGGCCAATGATCTTGGCAAAGTCAATGACTGGGAGACTGGCGGTTTCTTTAGATGCCATTTTTAGAGACTTTTAAGAAAAGGTAATTCGTTATAGTAAAATTGTATAAGAATTTGGTGGTTTGAGCTTGGATACTGCTGTCTCTGTTAAGCCTTGTTAAGATTCTTAATTTTGGAGCTATGATCGATTTATTGATCAAGACTAGAATAATTTTCCAAGACATATACCTAATTAGCACCTAAAAGAGCCTCATGTAAGTATCTGCCGATTTAATTGGAAAGTCGTGTATGCCGCTGTCGTTCACAAGCCATGTCGACTCCCAGGTAGCAGAGATGATCCGGGCCGCATCGGAGCTGGCACCCTTGTCAGCATACCCTGAACCACTCCGTCCATCACCGGGAGTACACTCAATTGTCACGGCTAAGTAGCTATGAACCCTTGACAAAGTTTATGCATATAACCCATATATCCATGCAAGTCCGACCAAAACTACGCTGACTGGTCGCGTCATCGAGGACCCCTATGTCGCGTAAACGCGGAATTTGTGAACGCGACCTGCTTATGTGATGCTCGAACCGCCACGTCATGGTTTACGCTAACCCGAGAAAAGGCTAATTGATCTTCACGAGCCGTTTCGAGATGGTGAGTGATATGCATTAGCTCTTACAGGGCTCGGAGCGTGCTGGAAAAATACGATAATAGGAAGTTGGCATTGCGATTGCGTCAATTTCACTTGCATGTTGGAACGAGTGAGAATGCCGTCGGCATGTAATTCTGTTGATGTGCTTTCTTGCCAGAAAGACGAGATTATCGACTTCGATGGGGGTTGCATGTCTCTCCAGCCGGCGGTCGATGTGTGAGATTATAGCATCTTGAATACTTAATGTCTTGATCTGAGATCAAGAGGACAGCCTTCATTATCAACCCAAATTGCAATATTCACTATCCCCAAAATGGTCTTTGAGTCAAAGTTTCCCAAGGTTGACCCGCCCTCTACGGACGTGTTCAACTTTATCTTCAACACTGCTCGAGAGAAGTATCCCAAAGACAAAGTCCTATACCGGGTACATAACACCGGGGAGACTCTGACTTTGGAAGAACTGGAGAATAAGAGCTTGCGACTGGCTAGCGTTCTTGTCAAGAAATACGGAATCAAGCCTAACAATGTGATTGCATTTCTGGCCAACAACTCTGTGAGCCAACCTTACCCTCCCGTCGACTCAGCTGATTGACTAACGTCTGAGAGATAAACTATCCCATTGCATTCTTTGCGGCACTGGCAGCTGGGGCTACAATCTCTCCAATCCCTGTTCAGCAAGGACTTGATGCTCTGGCAATTATTCCCAGACTTGAACAAGCTGACGCCAAGTTGATCATAACTGACTCAACGCTGGCATCTATCACAAAGCCAGCAGCTGAAGCGTTCAATGGCATTCCTCTGATCAGCCTCGATGATTCTTCCGAGGGAATCAGCAACGTCGAAGAGCTGCTTGCCGAAGAAGATGAGCTCTTCAATGGATTCAGGCTGTCCACCCACGAGGAAACTGAGAAGCACTATGCTTTCATTTACCGTACAAGTGGATCATCCGGCAACGTCAAGTCATTCCTCACAACTCATGCTCACTGGGCTGCCAATCTCCTGACAACCCGTCTGACTGTACCCTCCGACACAGATCCAGAGAAAGACGTTTGGCTCTCCTCTCTGCCTTTCGCCTATGGAATCAATGCAAAGCTAAACCTTGGTCTGAATATTCTCCTCGGGATTCCTGTCATTATTCTTACTCAGCCTTTCGATCAATCTACCTTCCATCTAATTGACAAGTATGCTATCACCTTCCTTTTTGTCACTCCACCTCTCGCAGCCCAGATAGCAAAGTCAGAGAAGGTCGGGGTCACTTACAAGAGTATCAAATGGCTTCTATCTGCTGGAGCTCCTGTTCATACAAAGATCCGGGATGCCGTTCAAGACAAATTCAATGGTGTTCGCCTCACTCTTGAATGGGGAACGACGGAAACTCTCCTTATCACGCTTCAGGTCGACGAGGCTTCCTCGGTACCAGGGTCAAGCGGCACTCTTGTTCACGGCTTTGAAGCCAGGGTCCTCGATATTGAGACCGGCAAGGATCTTGGTCACAACGAGCAGGGCGAAATTCTTGTGAGGAATACTCTAGCTCGCTTCGCCGGCTATAAGGATAATGACGAGGCCAACAAGGATTTTGATGCTGATGGTTGGTTCCATTCTGGTGACGTCGGATACGTCGATGAGAACTCCAACGTCTTCATCGTTGACCGGTTAAAGGAGTTACTTCGTGTCGGCGATGGCTACGGCACTCATGCTTCGGCAGCCGAGTTTGAGGCTGTTCTTTTTGATCACCCCGCTGTTGCAACAGCGGTTGTAGTGGGCATCCGTGACCAAGAGACTCAACAAGAGCACCCTACAGCATTCGTTGTCCTTCAGCCAGATGCCACGCCAAGCCACAACTTGAACACTGAGGAAAGGTCCTCGGCTTTGGACAACCTGGCTAAGGAGCTGGAGGGTTACGTTGAGACGAAACTGGGCAAGTTCAAGAGGCTCTCTGGTGGGGCATTTTTCGTGGAGAAATATCCTTATGTTGGCTACAAGATTAACAAGAGAAGGTTGAAAGAGCTGGTACATGTTGGGCCGTCTTCAGATAGCTTTGTCCGATGGATTGATGCTGCTGCTTAAGGATACTCAAGTTTCATACTTCGATTAGCTTTTATTATGTTGGATGTTGTATTGACTAATCAGGTCAGTCATAAGAGGACAGTCCACTAATACACGTTTGAACAATCTGGATTCTGAATCTCCCAACAACCTCATTTCCAACCCCATAATGTTAACAAAACCTTTTGCGACAAATTATATAAGACTTAGGCCCACGACAAACTCGGATCAAAATCCACGATGAAGTCGTGCTTATTCTTCAGATGACTCCACATCGCTTTGTCAGAATTGAAGCTGCGGTGGTCTTTGAAGCCAGAGTCACAATCAAAGCAATACCAGCAATGGTCATGCATATCCTTCTCTCCAAGGCAGCCGGGACGTCTGATGAAACTGACGTGTTTTGCCCTCAAATGCTCAATCGCTTCCCCCATGTTAAAGAGTTCTTTATCATGCTCATAGCATGTTAGAAGAGGTCGCCGACTGGGACATCATCAGTATCAATGGCTTTTTGGTTATATTTTAATGCATACACCATATCCGATAATGCCGGAAAAGTCGTTACTTTTGTGACGTGGCGCGATAGCTAAGACCCTCTTAGATAATGTTTACTATTTGAAATAAGATGTAGTACCAGAGCCTTGGAAGAATTGATGGGGTGCATGCTGGGGGTCTCGAGCCTATAAATATTGGCCAGAGTAGTACCTTAGCTCAAACTATAATAAGTTGCCTGGTCTCTTGACTTCGTCGTCTGGTCTGCCTGAAGGGAAGTATTGGTAGGGTTCAGAAAATGTAGGGTAAGCAAAGGCTCATTTGGAATGGCTTAGCTTTGGCCAGCGTGCCATCTCAGTGGGTCTGCGGCAAGTTCCATTGTGCTGGGCCAATGAAGAGCTTCAGACGGCAACTTCCGACACCACCAACATAACTGAAGCTATGGGCACTGACGTTTATGACTTTGGTGCACCAGTGACTCGTGAGACAGGCCACTTTCTGGGGATCTCGCATACCAGTTTAGATATATACAGTAATACTAATAATTACAACGCTATCTGATGCTGTTTCCGGTCTCAAAGCTTTGACGCCCTTAGTCTCAAGAGTTCGTCAACCATTAATTGGCAGCAACCGAGGTATTGTGTTGGATCGACCAATGTCATCAGCTGGTCTGTGCTCAGATGCTTCGTAACTTGCTCAATCTTCTGCAGTGATTCTATCAAGGACAAATTTCCCTCGATGGCAGCTACACATGCACCGTAGACTACTTCATGGGCCTCCTGTCGGCCTATGAACTCAGCCAACTTCATCATAACAGCCTCAGCAACAATGAGTCCTCGTGTTGACTCCAGGTTGGTCTTCATTGCGCCCGAGTTAACCTGCAGGCCTGATAGTGCAAAGTTGGCTTGATAAAGTGAGCCGACTACCGAGATGAACGCGACCGGAAGTGCAGCCCACTCAAGGTGCCAAGGTCCCGAAGCACGCTCAAAGTCTGATACCATACCATCCAAGACCAATCCTGCCTGTGCCCGAAGGATCTTAGATTGTGCTAGGATAATCTCGCTCGAGATGGGGTTTCGCTTCTGAGGCATGGTCGATGATGCTCCTCGATGAGGTACAAAGGGCTCGGCAACCTGAGAGTTAATCAATATCAGCTCGCGCTTATGGAAGTCGATGGTGATATACTGACCTCATTCAACTCGTTAGACGACATGATCATCAAATCGAGCGCAATCTTTCCCAATGAGCCTCCAACCAATGCCAAAAAGTTCACAACCTCAGCAATGGTATCTCGAGCGACGTGCCAGGTGATAACGGGGTCCTTAAGTCCCAAGATGACGGCTAACCTCTTTCGCACTCGAATACCATCATCCGAGCTACCCAGCGAAGCCAAAGTACCAGCAGCGCCGCCAAATTGCACAAGAAGACACCGTTCCTTGATTTGTTGGAGACGCTCGGCGTGTCGTCGGAGCCCAGAGAGCCAAACACCACATTTGTAACCAAAGGTGATGGGCAGAGCGTGTTGTAGATGTGTTCGGCCGGCCATCGGTGTATCGCGGTACTTGGAAGACATGAACTCGAGGATACTAATTGTTTCGTTGAGGTGGCGCTCCACGATTGCGATACCGCTCTTGATCTGTAATTGCGAAGCCAAGTCCATGATGTCTTGTGTTGTAGCGCCCCAATGAATATATCCGGCTTTTCTTGTTAACTGCCGCACTGCTTAATTCAGAAAAATTGTTTTGTACTTACATTGCTGATGAGGAACCCAAGAAGCCATTTGTTCGACTAGACCAAGGATGGGATAGCCAACAACCTCTGCCCGCTTTGCAAGCAGAGGCCAATCGATTTTGGATACATCAGAATGCTCACGAATGACTTTGGC